TGCTTGTAAAATTTTTTTCTTCTGTTGGTTTCTGGAATCTTAACAATTATATGCCTATATGTAGACTTTTTTTGATCAAGGTTATTTGGAGTCCTACATGCCTCACTTATGTGTATGTCAAGTTCTTTTCCCCTCCTTGGGAAGTTTTCTGCCATTACATCTGTGAAGTTTTTTTTATGTCAGCTGCACTCTTTCCTGTTTCTTCATTGACTCCAATCAGTCCTATGTTATTCTTCTTTGCATCGTCTAGCAGCTGGTGGATTGATTTCTCATGGTCCCCTTACAATTTTAAAGCTATTTTTCTTTTCCTGGTCACTAATTGCAGTCTTCTATATCTGAAATTGTGTCCTCAGATTGTATCATTCTGCTGTGTAAGCTTTCAGTGGAGTTTTTAATATCCTGAAAATCTATTTGCATCTGTTTTATGGATTCCACTTGTTTCCTATGTTGGGATTCCATCATGTTCCTCACTCAGCTCCTCTGTTTCTTTATCTGTGTCCTCTCTAGATATATTAACTGTGTCTTGCATTATGGGCACAATCTCTGTTGTTATCTGAGAAATTATTTCTGATTTTATTTTTTCCAGATCCTCTTTTGTTGCTAGGTCAAGGAGTCCATGTGGTTGAGTATCAGTTTTCCATCTCGTTTCCTTTTGGGGTTGCTTTAGGTGATCTGGAAGTCTGGTTTTGAGACTTGTTTACGTGTCTTCCCATTTTGATGGGGGGAATGTTGCTTGAGCCCAGGCAGCTCACCTCCTTTCTGCTGAGGGTGGTGGTATGGCGGCCTGGAAGCCTCCTCCTGGGTGCTTGGAGCGGCTCATCTCCTCTGTATTCAAAATCTTTACTTCTTACCTCATCTCTATTTGTTCTCAATTTACTTTAAAATGTTTCCTATGTTAATGTGTAAGAATTTGTCTTACAGTGAAATTTAATAGAAACACTGCATCAATTTTACTTGTAAATCTCAAAAGAAACACGTGACTTTTTATGTTCTGTGAAACAGTGTTCATTGTTATTTTAAGTAGTGGTATTGTTATAAACTTTCTGAAAATTTTAGTGTGTTCTTTTATTTTTTAATGACTGCTGATCTACTAAATTCTATATAATTGGGGAATCACTGTCAAATAATAGGGTACATGAAGATTCTATTCATTCCATGTGTTAATCAAATACAAATCAAAATCATTTCAGTTCCAAAGATGCAGCCAATTAAAAAAACAGCAAACAAACCAACTCATGATATTGAGGTCCAATGTTTTAACTTTCAAATGATTGGGGTGGACACTTCGGAGTAACGCCAAGAATTGAACAGGGTGATGGATGTACTTGTAGCCTCTGTCTATGTACTTGTCAGTCCACCGGTGGGCGCTCTGGTTCCATGGATGAGGAGGCTCTGAGAAATGGGCAGCTCTTGTTTGAGATCTGACAGCTGGCAGAGGCAGCAGTAGTGAGTTGCTGACTCCTACCACTTTTCAAGGTTACTTATCTTACCCATCCAGATATGAGGCAGGGGGGTTGCTGCTCTCACATTCTTAAGAGTTGATGAAGGTACAGATCATTGATAAACCTCATGTTTCTTGAGTCACTTTTATTGTGGAGGCTTTTTGTTTTTTATCAGTGAAACTTGATGTGTTTGATATGTCCTGTTTGCTCTTTGTTCCTGATAGAGCTTCTTAATTGACATCTTCAACTCTAACTGGATTTTCCTTTGTTCTTGTTTTGTTTTGAACATTTTTTAGATTGTCTTCAGGGCAAAACGTGGCATCAGTTACATAGGGGATATAGCAGTGGATGATGTTTCCTTTCAAGACTGTTCTCCCTTGCCTCACCCAGAAAGAATCTGCACTGCTCAGGAATTCTCCTGTGCTAACAAGCACTGCATTCCAGGGGACAAGCTGTGTGATTTTGTGAATGACTGTGCTGATAATTCTGATGAAACTGCTTTCCTGTGCAGTAAGTGAAAGTGTTCCTTGTCTCTACTTATTCCTTAATCTCTCAAATCGCACACAATGTGATGTATTCAGTGTCAGCACACATAATATTGATATGTGGCAGTAGCAGATTCAGGTAAGGTGATTTACCTATTTAAATGCATTATATTTTCTTTTTCAATACTTCATTGAGTACTACCATTTATTTAAAACCAGTCTGGCATTTTTGTGTGTTTATGAAGTGATTGGAGTTAGTTCTGCATTGTTTGATCACAAATGAGTTGAATATAAATGGTCAAAAAGAAAGTTGACAAGTTATTCTACTGTTACTTATAATAATTTGTGAGCAGGAAGATTACAGTTCTGTGTTATTTGCTTTGGAAACCAAAAGTGGAGTATCAAGGATAACTTCAGTATAGTAAGATCTCGTATCTTAACAGGACATAAAACTTTTAAAGCCCTTTTATTTACTGTTTCTTGATCTTCACAAAGCCATCACAGGTAATCAGGAAAGACACTATTAGTGTTTTAATGGCTAAAGCTACCAGTAGAAGTGATTCCGATTTTGGGAAAGTTTATCCAATTGTGTACTAACAACCTTGACCTTGGTACCCAGTTACATTGATTTATGATCCATTGTTCTGCCCAAGCTACCACACCACTTGTATATAAAACAATTTTTCAAAAAAGTAAATATACAAATTATCCAAATATCACATAGATATTTGTTCCTTGAGTTGTGGATATTTCTATTTCTATTTCTTGTTTTTGGTACCTGGGATCAAACTTGGGACCTTGTGCTTTCGAGGCAGGTGGCAGAACCATTGAGCTAAATCCCCAGCTCTATTTCTATTTCTTATAATACCAACTTTCATCATGTATAAGCCAAGGAAAAATATCTGGCTGATCTTGAATTCTGTATTTATCATTAATTCATCTTTCCCTTTGAATATTTTCTGCTAAATTCTGGTTAATTTTTGCATGAAATGTCTGTGTGGTTTCTTCATTGTCATTTCCATTTTAATATCACACAAATCTACTAGGTTATCTGTTAAAGATAGCAGATATTTTGAAATGTTGCCAATTTATTTCTTAGATATATCATTTAATGTTTTTGTACATAAAATATCCATTTATGGCTAATTTTTTTAGTTGCTTCAATTCAGACTCTAAAATCATGAATATTTTAAGGAATTTCTGTGTTTGGGAAGTATTTTGATGTTCTATGGGTGTCAAAAATGTATTGAAGAGTTCCTATTGGGGTAATTTTTTATGTGAACTATGAAGACAGAATTAATTGTAAGTTTTTTGAGGGTAAGTTTTACCAGAAAGTGCTTTTTGATGAACTGTTTACCAAATAACTTTTAAGTTTTTAGTGGGCCTACACATCTCAGCAACACTGGAGCAAGAAAATTGAATTATTTCCAGGTAACAGATAGGAAAAGGAAAACTTCTTCAACACTTTAGAATAACTAAAAATATTACAGGAAATCCTAAAAGTAATCTTCAGTTTTACACCGGATCTCATTATATAAGAATGATTTCTTTTTACATATCATTGCTTATTTTTTGTTATGCATTAAAAATTCAACTGTATTCCCAGTTTACTAGTCTTAAATGTTACATTTTAATTATAGAGGAGTAGAGTCTGCTACAGGAATTATGAGTGGTGTTATTATCCTGCATTGCTATAAACTTTGGTGTTCTAATTAGATCCAGAAGAATAATAAGAAAAAAATTAAAAGAATCACCAGAGCAACAGATTTAAGAATTTTGGCTGGCAACTAACCAAGTATTTGGGTTTAAAGCCTACTTAAAAAAATTTCTAAGTAGAGGTTAAATATCTATAACAATTAGAGAAAACTTGAAATATGCTTAGTTAGAAATGTATCATCTAGAAACAACAGAAAGAGCGTTGGGGATATAGCTCAGTGGCAATGTGCCTCCCTTGTAAGCGCAAGGTCCTGAGTTTGATCCCTGGTACCGGAAAAAAAAAAAAAAAAAGAAAATAGAAATAACAGAAAGAATGGGGAAAAAAACAACTCTTTTTAAAGTCATAGACCACATCTCATTTCCAGAAAAGCAAACAGTGAAGGTGCTTTGTATTTATAAGAGCTGTAAAATGTTACTTGATTATAACTGCCATTGGCTCCTTTGGAATACAACCATATTTTCTTGTTCTCATATACATTTTTTTGTTTGTTTGTTTTTTGGTACCAGGGATCAAACTCCTGACCTTGTGCTTGGGAAGCAGGCGGCAGAACCACTGAGCTAAATATCTGGCCCTCCCTTATACATTTTAATTAGCAAATTAATTTGTGCAGCTTGGCGTACCTGGAACATTCTCAGAATAATTTAGTTTTGCACCATGACCACAACCTAGTTGTTATCAGGATGCAGTATATTTGATTAATGAATGGGTATATGTAACACTATTTCCCAAATATAGATGTATGGTATTTTTAAGGACACACAGACACTTAAGAAGAAAAGAATGTTATATTTTTAAAGATTAGGCAATTTTAAAAACTCATGGTAGATTAAAGTCACATAAAGTATATCTTTTCAGTTAGGCTGAAAATACAAGAGAAAAGTCTCTATTGGTAGGAATTGAAAAGCACTTTTTTTTTTTTTTTTTTGGTACCAGGGATCGAACTTGGGACGTTGTGCTTGTGAGGCAGGCAACAGAACCACTGAGCTAAATCCCTGGCCCTCAAAAACTCTTTTAATAACTCATAATCTTCCCCCAAAAATCACAATAAAATTAGAAAATGTTGTAAACCAAAGAGTAATAAAAACAATTTATAATGAAAGTTATGGGATCTTATGAAGCTGTATTTGGAGAAAAATGTATAGCCTTGTTTATTAGGAACTAATTAGCTTGTAGTGGGCACAAAGGAACACAAACCTAAAACAGAGAGGATTTGAAAAGACTGATAAAAATTTTAAAACCCTGCTGAGACTCAAAAGACATAGAGAAGATAGACATATGAAATTATTTAATGTTTATTTATTCAGCAGTTATTATATTCCAGGCAGTGTTTGAGACACCTAGTATATATCAACAAATAAAGTATTTTTTCTCATGAGTATACATAATATACTTAATAAACAGAAGTATACTTCAGATAGATACATAAGCACACAGAAATACACGTGTATGTTTGTGTGTGTGTGTGTGTGTGTAAGTAGCCTGGCAAGCATGTTTTTGGGTGAGAAGAAATTCTTGAAGGAGATCTGGCTCCTGTTACTTTCCTTTTAAATTGTTTCCATTATAGCCATTCTAGTGAGAGGAAGTAGAATTTCATTCTGGGGTTGTAATTTGCATTTCCCTAATGACTGATGATGTTGAATATTTTTCTTGAGCTTTTTAATAGTTTTGTATCTTCATTGGGAAATATCTATTAAAATCTTTTGTTCATTTTTATACGATTGTTTAACTTTTGTGGTTGAGTTGTAGGATTTCTTTTTAATACTGGGTATTTGACCTTTGTCAGATCCATAGTTTTTGAAAATATTTACTTACTCTGTAAAATGTCTTTTTAATTTTTATTTTGCTTACAGAAAATTAAATGAAAGCTGCAAAGAATTTCCACATGCCAGTGTCCCATATACACATAGCCTCCCCTACTATCAACCAGAATATTAAAATTTTTGCAGTGAACCTACCTTGCTATGTCATTATTACCAAAAGTCCATAGTTTACATGAGGTTTTACTCTTGATTTTGAACATCCTGTGGATTTTGACTGATGTACAATAACATGCATCCACTACCTAATCACACAGCATAGTTACATTGTCCTGAAAATTGTTTTGTGTTCTCTGTATACATTATTCCACCTCACCAGCAACTACTGAATCTTATTTATTGTCTCCATAGTTTTACCTTTTGTGAAGCATCAGGTAGTTGACATCATGCAGTAGTCAGCCTTTTCAGATTCCCCTTTCTCATTTAGTAGTATGCATTTAAAGTTATTCTGTCTTTTTAGATCTGTCAAAGCTCATTTGTTTCTAGAGCTAATATTCTATTGTTCAGATATTCTACATTTTATTTAGTCATTCACCCATTGAACAACATCTTGGTTACTTTTAATTTTAGTAACTGAATAAAGCTGCTGTAAACATACATTGTAGGATTTTTGTGGATGTAAGTTTTCAACTCATTTGGATCATTATCAGGGAACAATATTACTGAATCATATGGTGAATTATATAAGATGTGTTTTCTACAAATATTTTATTCTGGTCTGTGGTTTGTCTTCCAATTTTTTTTACTATGTCTTTTATTAGTTTTTAATTTTAATGAAGTCCATGTTATCAGTTATTTCTTTGATGAATTATTCCTTTGATACTATGTTTGAAAAGGTATTGTTGTAACAAAAGACCATCCAGATTTTTCTCATATGTCATTTTTTAGGATTTTTATAGTTTAGTATTTACGTAGAGGTTTACTACTTGCTCTTAGTTATTATAAAGGGTATAGATTTTGTGTCTAAATTAATTGTTTTAGATGCAGCTGCCCATTTTTTCCAGCATCATTGATTAAAAGAGCATCCTTTCTCTATTGATTTACCTTTTTTTCCAAATATAAGTTGAACATATTTCTGTGCATCTGTTTGGTTTCCGTATTCTCCTTGGTTAATCTGTCTCTGTCTGTCTGTCTGTCTATCATCTGTTTGTTTATCTATCTATGTTTTGGCAATAGCACACTGTCTTGATTTTTGAACCTTTATCACAAGGCTTGAAGTCAATACTATCAGTTTTCTGCCTATTCTTGACTATTTTATTGCATGTTCTTGATTGCTTATCTCTTCGTATAATCTTTCATGGTCAGTTCATCAGTATCCACAAAGTAATTTGGTAGGATTTTTATTGTGATTTCATTGAATCCAAAAGTCAAATTGGTTAAGAATTTAATATCTTGATGAAATTAAGTCTTCTTGTCCAGGAACATGGAAAATCTCTCCATATATTTTGTTATTCTTTGATTTCTTTTGTCATCATTTTTGTTGTTTTCCTT